TATACATGGTTGTTCCTATATACATGGTTGTTCCTATATACATGGTTGTTCCTATATACATGGTTGTTCCTATATACATGGTTGTTCCTATATACATGGTTGTTCCTGTATGTATGGTTGTTCCTCCTTTTGGTAAAACAGCTTGTTTATATGGATTGAAATCTTTTTGAAGGTTTGGACAGAAATTTATTGACAAAGTTGCCAACCCCAAGGATATGGTACAGTTTCAACGAAAAAAAGTCCTGGCTACGAAATCTGATTCTAAAGAAGGTGATGTATTTACTTTGGTATTGATTATATAAATATAGAATTTGATCTACTCAGACTTGTAATACAGTTTATACAAAAAGAGAAAAGAAAATCTGAGTATTCTTATGCACAATGTTTCATTCAGTGGACCTACATGTCAAACCTAACAGTAAGAAACCTGTGGGTGTGGTAGATATTGACTCAGACTAAGAAACCTGTGGGTGTGGTAGATATTGACTCAGAGTAAGAAACCTGTGGGTGTGGTAGATATTGACTCAGAGTAAGAAACCTGTGGGTGTGGTAGATATTGACTCAGAGTGAGAAACCTGTGGTTGTGGTAGATATTGACTCAGAGTAAGAAACCTGTGGGTGTGGTAGATATTGACTCAGAGTAAGATACCTATGGGTGTGGTAGATATTGACTCAGAGTAAGAAACCTGTGGGTGTGGTATATATTGACTCAGAGTAAGAAACTTATGGGTGTGGTAGATATTGACTCAGAGTAAGAAACCTATGGGTGTGGTAGATATTGACTCAGAGTAAGAAGTTTGTGGGTGTGGTAGATATTGACTCAGAGTAAGAAGTCTGTGTGTGTGGTAGCTATTGATGTGGGTGTGGTAAATATTGGCTCAGAGTAAGAGCTCTGTGTGTGTGGTAGATATTGGTTCAGAGTATGAAGTCTGTGGGTGTGGTAGATATTGACTCAGAGTAAGAAATAAGTGGGTGTGGTAAATATTGGCTCAGAGTAAGAGGTCTGTGTGTGTGGTAAATATTGGCTCAGAGTAAGAGGTCTGTGTGTGTGGAAGATATTGGCTCAGAGTATGAAGTATGTGGGTGTGGTAGATATTGGCTCAGAGTAAGAAGTCTTTGTGTGTGGTAGCTATTGACTCAGTAAGAAATATGTGTGTGTGGTAGATATTGGCTCAGAGTAAGAGGTCTTTGTGTGTGGTAGATATTGGCTCAGAGTATGAAGTCTGTGGGTGTGGTAGATATTGGCTCAAAGTAAGAAGTCTGTGGGTGTGGTAGATATATATTGACTCAGAGTAAGAAGTCTGCGTGTGTGGTAGATATTGACTCAGAGTAAGAAGTCTGTGGGTGTGGTAGACATTGACTCAGAGTAAGAAGTCTGGGTGTGGTAGATATTGACTCAGAGTAAGAAGTCTGTGTCTGTGGTAGACATTGACTCAGAGTAAGAAGTCTGGGTGTGGTAGACATTGACTCAGAGTAAGAAGTCTGTGTGTGTGACGTAGATATTGACTCAGAGTAAGAAGTCTGTGGGTGTGATAGATATTGACTCAAGAGTAGGAAACCTGTGAGTGTGGTAGATTTGGCTCAGAGTAAGAAACCTGTGGATGTGGTAGTTGTTGGCTTGGAAGAAGAAAGCTGTGTGTGGTAGTTTTTGACTCAAGAGTAGGAAACCTGTGAGTGTGGTAGATTTGGCTCAGAGTAAGAAACCTGTAGATGTGGTAGTTGTTGGCTCAGTTAAAGAAGCCTGTGAGTGTGGTAGATATTAGCTCAGAACAAGAAAGATTTGCTTGTGCTGGTTTTTGACTCAGAGTAAGAAATCTGTGGATGTGGTAGTTGTTGGCTCAGTGTAAGAAGTATATGGGTGTGGTAGATATTAGCTCAGAACAAGAAAACTTTGCTTGTGCTGGTTTTTGACTCAGAGTAAGAAACATGTGGATGTGGTAGTTGTTCACTCAGAGTAAGAAGCCTGTGAGTGTGGTAGATATCGGCTCAAAGTAAGAAACCTGTGAATGTGGTAGTTATTGGCTCAAAGAAAAGATGTAAATTTTAAATATATTTGAATAATCATAATATGATAATAGCGGAATTCATTGCAGACATGGGTGACCTAGGAGCCATTAAAGCTGATGCTTTGGACACGTCTAGAGTAGAGGACATGGTCAAGGACTACTTCAGCAGTTCTGATTGTGTAAGTCACTTGGACAATGGAGGCTAATGTCATGTTATACTAAACTTGATGTTATTACAAGTGTAAGTCACCTGGACAATGGAGGCTAATGTCATGTTATACTAAACTTGAGGTTATTACAAGTGTAAGTCACCTGGACAATGGAGGCTAATGTCATGTTAACTAAACTTATTACAAGGATAAGTCACCTGGACAATGGAGGCTAATGTCATGTTATACTAAACTTGTGGTTATTACAAGTGTAAGTCACCTGGACAATGGAGGCTAATGTCATGTTATACTAAACTTGCGGTTATTACAAGTGTAAGTCACCTGGACAATGGAGGCTAATGTCATGTTAACTAAACTTATTACAAGGATAAGTCACCTGGACAATGGAGGCTAATGTCATGTTATACTAAACTTGTGGTTATTACAAGTGTAAGTCACCTGGACAATGGAGGCTAATGTCATGTTATACTAAACTTGCGGTTATTACAAGTATAAGTCACCTGGACAATGGAGGCTAATGTCATGTTATACTAAACTTGTGGTTATTACAAGTATAAGTCACCTGGACAATGGAGGCTAGTGTCATGTTATACTAAACTTATTACAAGGATAAGTCACCTGGACAATGGAGGCTAATGTAATGTTAACTAAACTTATTACAAGGATAAGTCACCGGGACAATGGAGGCTAATGTCATGTTATACTATAGATACTTACAGTTACTACTTGTATAAGTCATGTTATACTATAGAGACTTACAGTTACTACCTGTATATGTCATATTATACTATCGATACTAACTGTTATTATCTGTGTATGTCATGTTATACTATAGAGTCTTACAGTTACTACCTGTATATGTCATGTTATACTATAGAGACTTACAGTTTCTACCTGTATAAGTCATGTTATACTATAGAGACTTACAGTTATTACCTGTCTATGTCATGTTTACTATAGATACTAACTGTTATTATCTGTGTATGTCATGTTATACTATAGAGACTTACAGTTACTACCTGTATACGCCATGTTATACTATAGAGACTAACAGTTACTACCTGTATAAGTCATGTTATACTATAGAGACTTACAGTTACTACCTGTATACGCCATGTTATACTATAGAGACTAACAGTTACTACCTGTATAAGTCATGTTATACTATAGAGACTTACAGTTACTACCTTTATAAGTTATGTTATACTATAGAGACTTTCAATTACTACCTGTTTAAGTCATGTTATACTATAGAGACTAACAGTTACTACTTGTATACGTCATGTTATACTATAGAGACTTACAGTTATTACCGGTATAAGTCATGTTATACTATAGAGACTTACAGTTACTGCTTGTATAAGTCATGTTATTCTATAGATACTTACAGTTACTACTTGTATACGTCATGTTTTACTATAGAGACTTACTGTTATTATCTGTGTATGTCATGTTATAATATGGAGACTTACAGTTACTACTTGTATAAGTCATGTTATACTATAGAGACTTGCAGTTACTACCTTTATAAGTCATGTTATACTATAGAGACTTACAGTTACTACCTGTATATGTCATGTTATACTTTAGAGACTTAAAGTTGCTACTTGTATAAGTCATGTTATGCTATAGAGACTTATAGTTACTGCCTGTATACGTCATGTTATACTATAGATACTAACTGTTATTATCTGTGTATGTCATGTTATAATATGGAGACTCACAGTTACTACTTGTATAAGTCATGTTATACTATAGAGACTTACAGTTACTACCTGTATAAGTCATGTTATACTATAGAGACTAACAGTTACTACTTGTATAAGTCATGTTATTCTATAGATACTTACAGTTACTACTTGTATACGTCATGTTATACTATAGAGACTTAAAGTTACTACCTGTATAAGTCATGTTATGCTATAGAGACTTACAGTTACTGCTTGTATAAGTCATGTTATGCTATAGAGACTTAAAGTTACTACTTGTATAAGTCATGTTATACTATAGAGACTTACAGTTACTACTTGTATAAGTCATGTTATACTATAGAGACTTACAGTTACTACTTGTATAAGTCATGTTATACTATAGAGACTTACAGTTACTACTTGTATAAGTCATGTTATACTATAGAGACTTACAGTTACTACCTGTATAAGTCATGTTATACTATAGAGACTTACAGTTACTACCTGTATAAGTCATGTTATACTATAGAGACTAACTGTTATTATCTGTATAAGTCATGTTATACTATAGAGACTTACAGTTATTACCTGTATAAGTCATGTTATACTATAGAGACTTACAGTTATTACCTGTATAAGTCATGTTATACTATAGAGACTTACAGTTACTACCTGTATAAGTCATGTTATACTATAGAGACTTACAGTTACTACCTGTATAAGTCATGTTATACTATAGATACTAACTGTTATTATCTGTGTATGTCATGTTATACTATAGAGACTTACAGTTACTACCTGTATATGTCATGTTATACTATAGATACTTAGTTACTACCTGTATAAGTCATGTTATACTATAGAGACTTACAGTTACTACCTGGATAAGTCGTGTTATACTATAGTCATATTATACTATAGATACTAAATGTTATCTGTGTATGTCATGTTATACTGTTATTACCTGTATAAGTCATGTTATACTAGAGATACTTACAGTTACTACCTGTATATGTCATGTTATACTATAGAGACTTACAGTTACTACCTGTAAAAGTCGTGTTATACTATAGAGACTTACAGTTACTACCTGTATAAGTCATGTTATACTATATAGATTTACAGTTACTACCTGTATAAGTCATGTTATACTATAGAGACTTACATTTATTATCTGTGTATGTCATGTTATACTACACAGACTTACAGTTATTATCTGTGTATGTCATGTTATACTATAGAGATTGACAGTTACTACCTGTATAAGTCATGTTATACTATAGAGACTTACAGTTACTACTTGTATAAGTCATGTTATACTATAGATACTACTTGTATATGTCATGTTATACTATAGAGACTTACAGTTACTACTTTTATAAGTCATGTTATACTATAGATACTAACTGTTATTATCTGTGTATGTCATGTTATACTATAGACACTTACAGTTACTACCTGTATAAGTCATGTTATACTATAGAGACTTACAGTTACTACCTGTATAAGTCATGTTATACTATATAGATTTACAGTTACTACCTGTATAAGTCATGTTATACTATAGAGACTTACAGTTATTACCTCTATATGTCATGTTATACTATAGAGGCTTACAATTACTACCTGATGGTATCATGTTCTACTAGAGACTAACTGTTATTATCTATCTACAAGTGGGGCAACTAACGATTGCATACAGGAACGACAGGAAAGTCATTAGGGTGACAGATAGAACAATGGGTGTGTGCATGATATCATATTCTGATTTCTTAATACTTATACATGATACCCCTACGCCTTTTATAACTGATTTATGTAAGTGTGATTGTTAACAGAAGATGCAGCTGAAGTTGCTGACTGAGAAGGGCATGGGTCAGGCTGTACAGGAATTTGTGGACAAGGAGGAGCGCGAGGCCATCTCAGAACTTGTCAAGTACCAACTCCAGAAAACACAGGTGAATATTTCATATGAAGAAATATTAAAAGTTTGACATTGGCGACAGTGATTGTTTTAGCTGTAGGGTAATATAAAACCAGCAGTGACTCTGACTTTGCTGATAACAGTATATCTGTTTTGAAATACAGTATACTGGGAAATACTTTCCAGTCAAACTTTCTCCCTTTGCCCGTAAAATCCATATTAACCCAGTTTTAATTTTGAACTTCACATTTAGTTACTATGTCTATTATATTGTGTACTAACGTTCGCTGTAATGATAAATTTGCCCTCAATAGTGAAGGCCAAAAAAGGCAAAAATTAAACCGCAGCGAATATTTCTCTGTATACAGTACTTTGATATGCTGGACTTAATTTCACACAAAGGTACTCTGCTCTATGAGAGTAAGATCACATAACAGTTTCACTTGAGTTGCCATCAGTGTTTATTTTTGCAGATATTAATTTTGTTTTTCAACCACCTGAAACTTTTTATCATTGAGCTTAATGACAATAGATATACATGTATTTTATGTATAAAAGGCATAACAATTTGCTCGCTACAAATAACCATTTACACATTATTACAGACAGTATATTATTTTGGAACGCCTTTACCTATATTTAAAACATGAAAATACATATATACAGTGCAGTCTTGGTTATTTTGTCAAAGAAAATTTGAAATTTTGTATCTTGACCACACAATAGGAACTACTAAATGCACTGACAAAAGTAGTGTAATGTAGCGTCATGAAAATGTGATAAAGGAAGTAAGGTGATTTTGGTGTTTTTTTGTAGACTTACCTGAAACAGAGAAATGCAAATGAAGAAATCATAGATGCTGAGGTGACTCGGTACAAGGAGGAGAGGAAGAAGAAGAAAGAGGATGATGAGGAAGTGAGAGAGGCCATTAAAAGGGCTCGGGCCAATCGCTCCCAGCAGGAAGATGATGATGAAGAAGGGCAGGTCAGTCCACTAGACTCGGATGACAATGAGGAACCAGCAGTCCGTGGGAGGGGCCGGGGACGTGGCAGGGGCAGAGGCAGGGGGGCATCTGAACCAAAGAGCCGGGGCAGGGGTTCTCGAGGTGGCAGGGGAGAGGGAACAACCACCAGAGGAGGGAGAGGGAGAAAGAAGGAAGCTGTTGTAGTAGAGAGTCAGAACAGAAGCATCATGGATGCCTTTGGAGCTACATCGCAGAAGTCTAAGAAAGCAACAAGTTCCAGGAGACACCAGATGTAAGTCTGAGTATATTAATAGTAAAGAAAATGTAAATGATTTAATGACATCTTATATGTGGTTTTTAATTGAGAAAGATAAATACAATATTTTATAATAGGCTTAGAAAGAAATAACAGGAGGTTATTAACATGCTGATGGAGAAATGATAATATACTAGCACAGGGAAATGATACAGTATTAATGTGTGGAGATTATTAATGGGATTTGAGTCCAGTTGGTTATAGTATATAGAATATTTTGAAAGTTTCAATTAGAATCCTTGTTGTTGAAATATTTGATTATATGTTTTTTGTTGATACATTATTTTTAGCAATGTTGTTACCAACTTTAGGTCAGGTAAGTTGTGCTTCTAACAAGCGTCATTTCTGTTGTTTCCAGGTCTGAATCTGATGATGATATTCTGAATATATCTGATGAGGATGATGAATTCAGTAATATCTCCTCATCCTCAAGTAGGAAGAAACAGCCTGTAGCCAACACTTCCTCAAATAGAAAAAACACAAGTTCAAACAAAAAACGAGGTGTGGCATTCGATGATGATGATGACGATGACGATTTATTTCCAACCAGTAAACGTAGAAGATGAGATCCCTTGTGTGACGAGGATAATGTGTACCAGCACACACAGGTGATGAAATTCTCCAGGTTGCTCTATCAAATAAGAACAAGTCAACTTTTACAGCTGAAATTGAAAATGACACTTCATCAAATTGTATATAACTTGTCCATTTTCAAATTGGTGTGATAATCATTGAAAGATTACCTCATAAGTATATAGGGTATGAGGTCAAAGCCACTAAGAATAGAGTAGCACTGGTATAGACTCCAGCTGATTTCAGTGATTGACAGTTGCCACTAATATTTCACCAGTATGCTACCTTAACATGCAGTCTGCAGGGCCGCCATTGAACTATAACAAAGGCCTACATAACTCCTAATACGAAACCAACAGGCCAGCAAAGGTCCCGCAGAGCAGTATAAACTACAATGCTGACGGGCCAGCAAAGGTCCCGCAGAGCAGTATAATCTACAATGCTGACGGGCCAGCAAAGGTCCCGCAGAGCAGAATAATCTACAATGCTGACAGTACACCCACATATCAGCAAGGGCCCTGTCAGGCAGTGAACTGTACATTATATACTAGTACAAATGTACACCCACAAGTCAGCAAGGGCCCTGTCAGGCAGTGAACTGTACATTATATACTAGTACAAATGTACACCCACAAGTCAGCAAGGGCCCTGTCAGGCAGTGAATTGTGCATTATATACTAGTACAAATGTACAACCACAAGTCAGCAAAGGCCCTGCAGATTGTGTAGTTAGTAAATAGCAGACAGGCAGATAACAAAGGGAGCTAAGGTGGTCATTGAGAAATGGGGAAGAAGTAGTCTAGATTGAAGCATCATGCAAGAACAGTGTGTCTCATGCATATCTGATTTCTTTACTGTATAGCAGTTATAAATTTCGCAGGGGTTTTAATTTCGCTTTATTTGCCCTTTGACTAATATCCGCGAGTTCTAAACACCAGCGAAAATATAGGCAATGTTAACCACTTTTATGGTCCTTATCAACATGTTGAAAATACTGTTATGCAAGCTTAAATTAACTCTAATCAGATTAACCGGGCAGTCCATGTAAAAACAACACTTACATATAAGTTGCCACAACGTATTGATGTGTACACAGTAGGTGATTAATTGGTTACAGTTTACTCCTACAAAGGTACATACACATTTCTTTTTTTTTAATTCGAGTGAAGTCAGTGTTTTCAGACAGTTTACCTGTATTTTGAGGTTTGACCCTAAAATGACACCACTCAAAATACTTTGCACGACAAAAGGTATTCGGGTGCACAGCCAAATTTAAACCCCGCGAATATGTACTGAATAGGAAACCATGAAATATTGACCCCACAAATTTAAAGCGCTATACAGTACTTCAAAAGCTAATGTCACAGCATGGCAAAAAGGTCACCAATGATTTACAAAACATTCAGATTATCTGTATAGTATCGGAGACAGTTCATAAATGATGTGTACCTAGTACAACTGTCAGATTCTTTGTTCTTTCTATAATCTGGTTGATCAACTTTCACTTCTCCAATATATAGTCTGGTTGATCAACTTTCACTTCTCCACTATATAGTCTGCGTAATTAGCTTTTTACAAATCTGTATCAGACTCAAATATGCTGCTCTGGTTGCTTAGTTCTCATTGTTTGTGATGGTTGAATTTCATGTTGTTGTGAAAGAATTTACTTTTTGTTACCATATTGACGTTGTTCATGAATACATTTCTGGAGGACACTGAAAGCGATGTTGTTATTTCTGTTATATTGATCCTCCACCAGTACCTTCGGAGGTTTACACTTTGTTTGGGGCTTATCTCGTATAGTCTGCTCTGTCTGACCTACAAATGCCTAGTTGTATATGGGAGTACCTTAGAATAGTGCTGCATCTGGTCTCTTGCCTAACCAAATACAGAGTTATGGCCCTATGTTCAGTTTCATCGTCATTCTTGATTTACAAATTTATATATATTTAGATCTCTTGGGATGTTTTGACTGGTGGGGGATTATAGTTTGCTGGCAATACTTTGCATTGCTGTGCATAGTAACATTTTGTTACCAGAAATAATCTCCTTAACAAACATCAATGGAACTCAAATTGTAATTCATTGCTCTACTTTTAACTATAATACATTGTGTAGAACCAAGTCTCACTGACCTACATTACCATAGAACCAAAGTACCATTCACATACATTATCATGGAATCATGATACCTCTAACCTACATAACCATAGAACCAAATTACCATTCACATACATTATCATGGAATCATGATACCTCTAACCTACATTACCATAGATCCAAAGTACCATTCACATACATTATCATGGAATCATGATACCTCTAACCTACATCACCATAGAACCAAAGTACCATTCACAAACATTATCATGGAATCATGATACCTCTAACCTACATTACCATAGAACCAAAGTACCATTCACATACATTATCATGGAATCATGATACCTCTAACCTACATTACCATAGAACCAAAGTACCATTCACATACATAATCATAGAATCATGATACCTCTAACCTACATTACCATAGAACCAAAGTACCATTCACATACATTATCATGGAATCATGATACCTCCAACCTACATCACCATAGAACCAAAGTACCATTCACATACATAATCATAGAATCATGATACCTCTAACCTACATTACCATAGAACCAAAGTATCATTCACATACATTATCATGGAATCATGATACCTATAACCTACATGACCATAGAACCAAAGTACCATTCACATATATTATCATGGAATCATGATACCTCTAACCTACATTACTGTCGAACCAAAGTACCATTCACATACATTATCCCATAATCATGATACCTCTAACCTACATTACTGTAGAACCAAAGTACCATTCACATATATTATCCCATAATCATGATACCTCTAACCTACATTAATTACTATAGAACCAAAGTACCATTCACATATATTTTCCCATAATCATGATACCTCTAACCTACATTACTGAAGAACCAAAGTACCATTCATATATATTATCCCATAATCATGATACCTCTAACCTACATTACTGTAGAACCAAAGTACCATTCACATATATTATCCAATAATCATAATACCTCTAACCTACATTAATTACTATAGAACCAAAGTACCATTCACATATATTTTCCCATAATCATGATAACTCTAACCTGCATTACTGAAGAACCAAAGTACCA